TTTTAAACATGTTTAAGACATTTGGACTTTGTATGCAATTGATCGGCTTCTTTTCAGTTGTTTTTTTTTTTTTGATAGAAGATTGTATTCAGTTAATTTGTGTATTTGCTATCATTTGTAACTCATTAAAATTCCCGGTTTTCAATTGTTATTGTTACTCCCCTCATCCCCTTGCCATCTCGGGGAACATAACATGTATCATTCTACAAATACTGGAACCCCACAGAGCCAGAGGAGACATTTACTTTACAAAATGATAGAAAAATGAAGGACAAAAGTGTCACTAAGCCACGGATAACATAAAAGAAAATAAATCCATTTTTGCAGGAACATGTATTTTAAGTAGCAGTATTCGCCTGTATAAAGTATGCTCTCCCCAAAAAATGAGACAAATATTTACCTTGTCATATTGCAGATTATTTCGCTTAAGAAATTCCACTTGAGTGATGAACCCAGGTCGTTAAAGCGGTAGCGGAAAAGATCAACTTCCTGTTGTATAAACCAACGTCTCAGGTCCTCCCTATAGGATACAACAATGAATATTGTTATTCAATTGATCCAGCCATTACTGATAAAGTGTTTTCATGATGTTTCAATTGACCAAGAATCAAAAATGATATTCAGCAAACGCAGACTTACGTTTGGGAGTAGGCAAGTCTGAGAATGAAATGGGAGATATGGTCCTTTCTTCGTTTCTCGATCTCACTCGTTCCATTCACAGGTTTTTTGTCATCCTTAATGAGTTAAAACAGGTACAGCATACATGAGGGCTGTCACCATACCAGCATTGTAAACTTTAATAAGATACTTTTAAAAAACTCAAACAATATTGATACCCATTTAGAAACCGTAGCAACAAAAATAAAAGTCCTAGGCACCGAATATCTTGATTTAATTCCCCCAAAATTGCGATCAAACTCCTTAGACAGTGTCATTAGCTCTGCTCTCTGTTTGTTTGTAAGAGACAAAAATTGAACTTTTGCAACTTTGAGATACCAAAAGGACTTGAGAAACACCGGTACTTTTTACAGACCACAGTGGTTCTCTCTTTTACTCCAACAGCAGGTATGGGTTATGAATATGACTGAATATCTGTGTTTCTCTAAAAGCTACGGTACTATTGAGCATCGATCATTAAAGTAACAGTGTTTATCCTTCAAAACACAAGGTATTGAGAAGTGTTGAAAATGTGACAACTTTAGTATACCTACCAAACACAAAGCCAGATTTCTAATGGAGTGTTGTGACCGAATGTATGTAAGAAAAATAATACTTTGCAGACTTCTTACCACAGGTGTTTTAAAGATACCTGCATGCTATCTTTGCCTTTGGGCTACAGTAACGTATCCTTATATTGGCAAGACAGCTGTCCACTCTACGCCCTCTTCTTGTCACTATGTGGTCACTTCGGTTGTGTTTTGAAACTTTCATAGACGACCGAAGCAGTAGATGTTGCCATGTTGTTCATCAACTTCTGTTTTGGTTGTCTGCACACTGCACTATCACTAAATGATAGATTCCTGGTGATAACAGGTTTATTACAGCCAAAAAAAAAAAGGTCAGTACTGCTAAGGTGTAAAACTGTTTCAATGAAAGGTAAGCTAAACACACTCACAGCCTCTGGTCTGTAAGGAAAGTTCAGGTTTTTTAACTCTTTCTCCAGTTTATACGAATACTGTTCAGAGAGTTTCACGTAGCTCACTCCCAAATTCTCGACGGTCTTCAACACTGCAGAGGAACCAAAAGCAGATTGAAAATGTTATGTCCTTTCTTAAAACACTAAAACAGATTAGTCAAAAACAGTAAACTTTATCTGTAAGATGTATTTGACTACTAAATACTAAAAAGGTCTTACACTTCAATCTCTCCACAGCAAACGTCTCAAACTCAGTGAGGGAGATGTTTTCCAGAGGAGGCTGCCCATAGAACTGCAGAACGTGTTCGTACTCTGCCTGAGAGTTGGCAATGATCTTCCTCCTTCTTCCAGAAAACTCCATGATTTCTGGTGGGAAGGGGAAAACAAGCAACGTGTATTTCAGAATGGTACAAAAAAGGGAAAAGGCGAACCAGACAGTAGAATAATATGTATAACCACCTATTTACACATGTGTCTCTGGTGTAGCTATAGATATGACATACTGATCCAATACTGATTTAGGCTGACTTTTTAAATAAAGGGCGTCACAGTGCAGCAGTCCATTAAACATAACACAAACTAACAAACTCCAGATGTTGTGGAGAAAGTGAAGTAGAAGTAAAACAACATCCGTGAAAGTAGAATATGATTAAATGGGTTTTAGACAAAGTATTTTATTAATAACTAAGCAGGGAAAGGCCCTTCACACAGTGCCACCATTACAAAGACAACTGACACTACATTTATAAAAACAGCAATACACATCAGAGTGATATTTCATTTAGTCAACACATAAGCCGTTTTGGTTACGGTAACAACACAGTTTATAACCCTAACAGTTAATAGTAGATCTTATAAACATAAGCAGAAAGACATAAACAGACATAATCAAAATATGCGTGAGAAACTTCTACCAGGTCGGACATGCTGGCTAACTTACAATCAAATACATTCAGAAAAACAGTCTGAAATAAACAGGTCAACAATTATTACACCAACTACGAGCAAATGTAACATTGTATGAATAGTTTTTGTGATTACGTACCGATTAGGTGATAATAGCAGGCTCTCCTCAGCTCAATCCCGCCAAACAAAGTGGGCTGTTCAACGAACGCGGGTAAAACGATGACGTTTTTTTTTTTTACTAACCCGGAAGAGATGGCCTGTTGTCCTGGTAACGTAACGTGGGAGCGTTCGTTTGGTGATTCCGCACGGCCCGCCGTGTCTGCCTCCGCCAATGAGAAGTCAAATAACTTCATATTTTTAATCCAACAAAAGTTATTTTATTTTTTTTAACCACTTTGGGGTTGTTGTGGAATAAAAGGCTTGTGGACTAAAATTATGGTAAAATAGTATTTGTGAAATTCAAACAGTTTAAGAAGCATTGTCCTCATTCGAAAATCACATTTTAATGAAATTAAAAAACCCTCCAACCTTCTGGAATATATTTCTGGGAAGAAAAATAGATTCAGTATTATTATTATAATTATTAGTATTAGTATTATTATTATTATTATTATTATTGTTATTATTATTATTGTTATTATTATTATTACTATTAGTATTATTATTCAGTATTTAGTATTGATTCAGTATCAAATATTGATTCAGACTGTGATAAGGATTTTATCAAATGTATTTCAAGTGTTTAAACCTCTCTTGTTACTCTTTAACCAACTGTGACGTGATATATTTCTAATTATTAGAAGAATGTGGGAAAAAACCGTTTAAATTCAGTAAAATAAAGTAAACATACAAAAAATCCATAGGTTTTTTTTTTCTGTGTTTTATTTCTTCCCCTCTTCTTTTGTGCTTATAACAACCATTTACAGTCTATGATAACAACACTTCCTTGCACTGTTTCCTGTGAACTTCAGTTTGATTTAATAATTTGCACTAACTTGCTGATGCATGTCTGTAAACAGGTGATGTATATTGGAAATTTGAAGCTACTCGTGTTGTCTTTTTCACGTCATGTCTTTGTGTGGATGTAATATCTTGTATTTAATTTATATTTAAAAAACACACACAAACTTTAACACGCTTTACATCATACTGTGAAGTCCTCATGATTTTCTAATATCATATTATGTCGTTTATGTTCGTCATCAAGATAAGCATGTGATTGCCACTGCTCTGCTGCCATCTAGTGTCTGAAGTGGTACACATATGTTTACATAATCACTGCAAGACGAATCAGTAACACCACCATGTTAACTTACAATGTCAGAAATACTCAAACATGCCCTGTTAGGAAGTTTTGAGAGGAGGAACTTGCTTAAATAATATACTTGATATTTGGAGAGCTTAATTTGCTATTTAAGATAAACATGGTTAATCAACAGAATTCAGTCAGTTCTTTTTTTTTTAAATCAATAAATCAATCAATCAAAATTTTATTTATAAAGCACCTCTCAGACAAATTCAGCTGCAGTTCAAAGTGTTATACAAGGAGCGGAAAAGTTATTGACAAAAGGTAGTTTGTAAAAACAATTTAGAGACTAATGCACACCAATAAGAATTTTCAAAATCTTACAATAAAAAAAGATATATGATAAAAAAATCAGAGACAAGAAATAAAAGCAATAAGATAATATGAATAAATGCAAACAAGAAATTTATCAAATGTTAGTAAAACACAATATTATAATGTTATGAAGACAATAGGAGCGCTTCTGCTATCCCTCAGACCACCTTTGCTCATGGAAGGGAATACTTGAAAAAAAATTGAGGAAAATTTAAGACCCCAAAACATTGGCATAAATGACCTAAATCCAGGCACAACATATAGAGGGCTACTACACCCTGAAGAAGGCGCAAGCCGATACACATTGGTGTATTTTAAGTGTTCCAAGCCTTATGAATTGAAGGCCTTAACTTGGAACATTTATACCAATATGTTTTTAGTTTGAATGTATTTATTTAATAGGGACAACGCCATTTAACATAATTTCAATACAAAGCATGAAACTGATGTGCTGCATAAAGAGTATATAGCTATTGCTAATTTCCAACTCGTGTCCCCAGTTGGGCCTTTGATTAAAAACACAGTTAAAATGTACAACATTCAGTTACATAAAACCCCATAACACTATATAAAATACATGTACAACAATAGAAATGCCATAAACCAGTTTAAAATAAAGTTTGAAGATATGAATTTAAAAAAATGTGTTTATAAAGTAAGATAGACATAAAGTAGTCATGATACGAAATAATATAAACACTAAAAACCATAAATCATCCACTAAAATTGTAATTAAAAATCCACCACCAACACTTTAACACACTAGGTGGCGGTAATACGCCTAAAAGCGGAGTACCGCCCGCCATAAGAAGAAGACGTCGCATTCTGCACTCTGCTGCCTAGCAACAAGTATTGGCGAGCTGCTACTCTCATGCGCAACGTAGTTAGCTGGTTCGGAGCGTCGCGTCTAGGTAGCGACGCGTTTTTATTCCGTAGATATCACAAGTTTGCTCAGTTGTCGACCGTATTTAAACTGAACCTGCCGTTTTGAAAGGGGGAACATTAGTGTTGAGCATTAATTCGCTGTTTATCATTCACGGGCGGCGGCGCAAGGAGGTTTATTTTCTCCGCGGAAAGTGGCTAGCCTTTAGCTAAGTGACGTTAACATCAGAGCGTTTCCTCTGCGGAGACGAGCAGAGGGAGGTCGGAGACACCGGGATGCGATTGTTCGTTAGCTGGCCGGTTAGCCTTTCTAATGTTGGCGGACACTGGATGAGCTGAAACGTTATATAACAGGTAAGACATTACCCACTCCGTCCTTTCATCCTCCCTCACTGCCCTGTTTGTCAGGCAGCTTTAAACGGACTCCAGCAGCTGGTTTGTTACCTGAAGCTTCCAGCTGTTCAACAGGTCACATTCTGACTCGGGTTAAAAAACTAAAGGAAAAAAAAAAAAAAAAGGTGATTTCAGGAAGTTAATAATGCAACTAATCTTCTAACAAACTTAGGATATTATAGCAACGCTAACAACTATCATATCATCATATCATGACAAGTATCTTAATATTCCGTGCCCTAAAATGTGTACTTGAAGGGGCCCCACCCTGAGGCCTTGGAAAAAAAAGTAACTGAGTCTGTTAAATCAACTTATTGTCTTTGAGGGAGGTTTAAAGTGTTATCTTTCACATATTAAAAACAAATGTGCGCATTAATGCCTATAGGATTAACGCTGTTTTTATAAATCAGGTTATGCCAGTCATTTCTAAAGATGGGGGGTTGGGTTGGGTTGGGTTGGGTTGGGGGGGGCAAGGTAAGGTTATGACAGGGGTGGCTCGGCAAGCCTATAATAAAAACAATGCACACCGCTTTGTACTGCCTGTAGTGCCAATCTAACAACAGAAAGTGCCACTGGAGGGAATTTTAAGTCATTTCCAACTCATGGTGGGTAAAAAAGTGAATGTCCCCCGTTAATTTTGTTTGCAGTATTCATTTATCTATCAACAATCTTAAAAACACCAACAAAAACACGGGTGTATAGGCCTATTCTGCATCAGACGAGATAGGTCATAAACATAGATAAAGTCTAAACGCGCCGGACAACATCTTCACACACTTAAGGTTGAACAACTGTGTGGCTTCCACTAATTCCCTATCCCCATTCACCTGTGTCACCCCTCTCTACCCACCTGTGGCTGTAATTACCAACTATGCTCAGGTGCGCAGGGGACGTTTGCAGCAGAAAACGTCCACACAACCAACCACACACACACAAACCACAACACGCGTGAAATTGGCGACAACACTGCGAACAAAGCTTGCACATTTTGTGAGAAAACTTCCAGGTAAACGAAAGACTGGCAGAAAATCTACACCGGACGCCACAACTAAACCAAAGACAAGAAAGTACGACGAGTCATTTCTCATTCTCGGCTTCACCTGTACAAAGGTGGGTAATGAGAGAGCCACATCCTATCTGTGAGATTTTCTGCATTTTCCCCAACCAGGACAAAATACAGATCAAAGTTGGATATTGAAAAAGAATTAAGAGTGGCAATTTGACACCCAGGACTTGATAAGAAATGTACAAAACAAGCCCACACTGGTCAATGAAACTATTACAGGACTGGAAGTATAAATTTGAGATTTTTAAACGGAGTTGTTCATGTTCAGAGAGTCTAGTTTAAAAAAATATGTTTAGACTTAGAGCAATGAGTGTTGTGTCTAGAAAAGTTGTAAGTTTTATGTTGCAGTACTTTTAATTACTTCTTCTGTGAAGGCTGTTATTTTTTTCAGTTTGTTGTCACATGCTAAAGTTGCTGTTCTTTACTTTTTTGTAGATAATTGTTCCAACTAAAATCTGAAAATATATGAATTTGTTGGCAAAGGGCATGACTGTGAGTGTGATTAGTGTATGTTGATGAGGAGCTAGTATACCTAACTGTTGAGTTGATTAATAATTTTTGGGGAGAAGAAGTCACCTGTGGGACAAACTCCGACTTGTTTTCATGGTCAAAAATGGAAAGAAAAAAAAAAGTCAACAGTTTAGGAGTCATACACCATCTCTGGGAATGATCAGTGACATGCTGTTTGTCAGACATGTTTCAGTTGCATTTCAAAGGAGGGACTACTAACAGCAAATTAAATACACCAAACCCGTTGCTCATTTGAAAAACAGACATGAAATGACAATTGGCTAAATTATTATTTTAAACATTGGTATCTGCCCTGATGGGCTTACGTTTTCAAGTATTTTTTAAATGAATGTTGGAGAAATATGCTATTTTTGAAGATAACAGACATATTACACTGATAGAAAATAGAGTGGGATTTTCTGGCACAACTTCAACTAACAAGGTGCATGAAGTGTGAAAAGCTTGAAGAGGTCAAAATGCTCCAGCAACACTTGTAGTATGAAGATAAACTTTATTAACAGCTTAGACCCACACATTTTGGCTTGTGGCCTTCGTCAGGGTCATAGAAAATAGAAAATCATTCCTGATTAATTGGCCAATGAATGTCAGCAATATTTGAAATGTAATATTAGTAATTTTTGTCTCTTTAATAACTATGTTCCTCTCTTCTCCAAATATGAATTATGTGTTGTGTTATAGGACATAGCAACCTTCATAACATTCCTATTTCACTCAGTTTCTTCAAATCATCAAACATATTTGACCACACTTAGTTATTACACAGAGATTAGATGACTAAACGCATGTAGAAGGAAGAAAGAGGTCTTGGGTCTTCACTAAACATGAGTTAGTTCACTTTCAATGACTGCAAATGTTTTACATAATGCAATTATTAAAAACGAAATGTTTCAAGAGAGTAAAAAAAAGAGAAGGCTGTTTATTTTCAACCATGTTTTGCCGTCATGCTTTAACAGCTCCTGCGTCATGCAGGTCCCTTTTTAGTTGATGAATAATTTCTACTACATACGTATTGTGACTCAGTAGTAGTAGACGGGCTGTTGGACACCACAGCCACTCACTAGGGTGTCAGTGTTCACTGCGAACAGCTTTCCCTCAATATGTTGTCAAGCACTCCAGCAGCTACACACATGTAAATGTGGAAGACCCGGTTGCCATGTGGAGTCTGCTGCTTGCAGTGCTAATGGAAGAATAAACACATCGCACTGTCGCTCCAAACATCTCCCTTGTAAAATTTACAACAGTTAATTTAATGGGAGCACACAAGAGTTCAAAAGGATTCACTGTTTATGTAAAGCTCTTAACAAGAGTGCAGTCATTCCATTATTATGAAGTTCTTTTAGTATGATGCTAAAACCAGTACGATTTCACAACATTCGATCTGATGTAAAACAAAAAACGGGAACATGAGACGATTGGATTTGAATACAGACTCAGCTAAATTGATGACATGAAAACTGTTTGCATTTGAACTCTACTTAATTTAGAGGGGAGAAAGTTTCAACTTAAATTCAACCAGCTGCAGTATAGCAAACCATACTGGACTAATCACAACATATCACACTTGAAAATGAACAGAATTGATCAACATTTGATAAACATGTCACTAGCACAAATTCATTGTGCAACAGATGTAAATCATATGTAATAAAACTCAAGATAATATTTGGACTGCAAAATTTTGCTGTTTTACTGTCACTCATGGTATCTAAATGTGTGTCTTAAAAATTAAATTTTTTATGTCTTATACACTTTGTGGTTTGTGTTCCTGTCACAAAGTGGAAAATACCCATACAGAGTGGAACTGAGGAAGCCAACCAGACATCACCATCATGTTGGAGGAGGACATGGAAGTGGCCATCAAGGTGGTCGTGGTCGGCAATGGAGCTGTTGGCAAGTCCAGTATGATCCAACGCTACTGCAAGGGCATCTTCACTAAGGACTACAAAAAGACCATTGGAGTGGATTTTCTGGAAAGGCAGATAGTGTAAGAACTATATTTCACTGTAGTTATCGTTCCTGTAATACTTTATGTCATTTATCTTTCAATGTCTCTTTTTTCCCTTTGTCATGGTGTTTTTGATGTCTTATTTGAATCACTTTGAGTTGTCGTGATTTTGAAATATTCTATAGGATCGGTAGGATCATAGTAGCTGAAGATGAAGTTATTTGATTTAGGGTTTCAAGGGCAAAGTGACTTTTACCTCAAATCTATCTCTTGTGCAAGCTATTTCTCAGCAAAGCCTTGAGAGTGTTTTATTACATCCTGTCTGTTTGTATATTTAATCCACCAAATAGTCAACGCTGTTGGTAATCCATTTACAGATATTCTCTCATCCCCTACCCCTTGCCCACCATGTTCTAGAGAAAGACATTTTCTTTCTAGTATGCTGCTCCTTCTTCAGATTTTTGAACACCTTTCTGGCCTTTATCTGATAGGCTGGCTCAGCTTTAGTTCAGGGTTGAGGTTTTACTTGGTAAGCCACTTGTACCCCTGTAAAACACATTGGCTGTATAAATAGATTACTGTACTTGGAAAAAGTGAGATATAAAGTAAAGGTTTGCCAAACAAACATGTATACAACAGAAGAACTTGTTTTATATGCTGGAAAGGATATTATTATACTGACTTTGCAAAAGTAGTGTCATAACTACCTTTATTACCACCTTCTTTTTTTAGTGTAAATGATGAAGAGATCCGATTAATGCTGTGGGACACTGCTGGGCAGGAGGAGTTTGACGCTATCACCAAGGCCTACTACCGCGGTAAGACCCCACCGCTGTGACAGCTGAAACACTGCTGCCCTCTGACCTTCATGCCTGCTCGGGCTGAGTTTCTAATTTGTCACAGATTTTGTGGGTTACTGGCAGCTCGGTTTTCAGTCAAATTAGATGAACTGTGATTCTCCAGTTGGACTGTTTTGTTCTGAATGTTTGTACATCCTTGAGGAGGATTATTTTGCATCATGTTTATATCAGACTTTAAAGATTGATCAGGCCGAAAACATGAAGTGTTGTTCTGTTGTCTTGCATTCCAGGGGCCCAGGCGTGTGTTCTAGTTTTCTCTACCACAGACAGGGATTCATTTCAGGCTATCGACAGCTGGAGGGAGAAGGTGGAGGCAGAGGTGGGAGATATTCCTACAGTTCTAGTGCAGAACAAAATTGACCTCCTTGAGGAAACTGTAATAAAAAAGTAAGTCATGATATCTTCTTTGAAAGCTCAAGCTCTGCATATGCAATTCATTTTATAGAAGTAAAGGTGTTGCCTTTGTATTGTAATTAAAGCCGTTTAACTTTTTCTTTGCATTGCAGCGAGGAGGCAGAAGGTTTGGCAAAAAGGCTGAAGCTGAGATTTTATCGAGCGTCAGTGAAAGAGGATCTTAATGTCAACGAAGGTAGGTTACTTAATTGTAGACAACTAGTAAATGCAAATGAAAGAGTCTCATTATGTGTGATCCTCTTGTAACACGTCTTCCTGTTCACTCTGCTTAGTTTTTAAATACTTGGCTGAGAAGTATCTCCAGAGACTCAAACAGCAAACAGCAGAGGAGACAGAGGTAGTCCATACAACAAGCAATAAAATAGGTAAGGAAATCTGTGTGTGCATCCCTTTTTCTGTTACATTTTAAGCTGTATCTTCTTGTAGGATGACATCATCTTAAATTGTGTTTTCTTAAGGTGTTTTTAATACAACAAGTAGTAATGTCTGCAACCAGAGCTCCAGCAACGGCAGAGAGGTGATCACTCTGCGACCAAACAAACAAAGGACCAAGAAGAGTAAAAATCCTTTTGGAAGCTGCAGTCTAGTCTAAATGAAGCTCCACTCATTTTAGTGAATGCTGATTGTGAGACTAGTTTGGTCTTTGTTGTACTCTGTCCATGGGGCTACATTGATTGACCAAAGCCCACACAGACTGGGAAACACTCCTCTAATGCTACCTTAATAAACTCAACTGTAATCCAAATCCATTTCCCAGTATTGCTGGTTGAATTTTCTTCGCTTTAAGCGCGATCTGAGCACAAAAAAAGCATGTCAATGTTTGTACACTCCTGAGTCCTCCTTGTGGTAGCCTGAGGCAACAGCAACAACTGCGTATAACACCCATTTATATTCTGTAATGGATGAAATGACACCTCACAAAAAAAAAATATTTTTACACTACTCTATTTCTGTTTGAACATTTCCGCTGTGTAACATGTCTGCATGGTTTTCAGAAGATACTCACATTATTTTGTACCATATTTTTTCAAACTTTAAAAAGAATATGGTTCAAACTATGCTGTGTACACTATCGAACCCAGAGTATATTCTCTGTGCAAAAGTATTTTTGTACAAATCACAACAGTGTTGAGTGATTATTATTTTCTCTCAAGTGTTGACATAGTGCCAAATCTGCTCTGTCTGAGCTGTAACTAAATATGAATACTGCAGTGGTATGGATGTAACATGAAATAAGTAGAATGTGCTCCTATGTATAACCAAATATCAATAACACTAGATAATCTTCTAAATGTCTGCTTGCAATCAACTCATTAACATACATGTCAATTACTTTAAGGACTTTGTGATGCAAAACATGAGTTGACTTTTGCTCCCTGCTCGTTAAGTTAAAGCATCTTAATTCACCATCAGTTATAGCACTATGTTTGTAAATGTTTACATTTGAATCTTTCACTGTGCTTTTCTTCGAGTGACCGCTCAGTCAGATTAATTACTGTGTCTGTACATTTTTCAAATTGCACTGTATTTTCTAACATTTCTAACCCTAGACATTCTTCTGTGAGGCTCCTTTAGTATCAAATCATTTTATTTAAAATGGAAATACAAAACGTGTGCACACTTCATAATTTTTAGGTACAAATAGTAAAAAAAAAAAGAAGACTAAAAAGGCAAAACTCAGCCGTGTCTGTTTCTGTGGTATGAACTCATGCGCACAATGTAAATCTGTGCTCTCTGAAGGTACAAAAAGCGGACAGAATATTTGACTTGTGTGTGTGCTGCGAATATGCAAGAAAACGAAGTCTGCTCTCACTTCACAAGGGTACTCATGTAGTGAATGGTGCCTGAACCAATGCTAAATCCTCAAATCAGCTAGCTGTGGGCTGTATGTTACTGCCTGGTCTAATTTAAAAGAAAAACTTCTCTGACAGACAACTCTGAACTAAGCACAAAGAAATGTGTTGATGTGGAAGTCTTATATATATCCTGTCAGAACATTTCATTTTTTAAATTGAAGGTGTTTAACTTGGATTAAGAGAACTCAAACATCTGGGAGTGAGAGTGAGCATGCACATGAATGATTCAAAGCTGTTTTTTAGGTACATTGATACTAAAATGGTGTCACAGGTCGAGCACTGTCGGTTGGTTGTATGTAAACAGTGCTGTTCTGAAAAGTGTCTCAATGTGTAATGCATGCACCTTCTTACACATCAGTGAATGTCATACCATGGTTGCAATGCCACAATGCCTTGTCCATGTTTACATTCTTCCTCATTGACCTCCATCAAGCATTCAATGCCTTCTATCGCTGTTTGTGTGAAATTGCCTGCAGAACATCTGTAAATAACTTCTCGAGCTTTCTTTTCTTTGTCACTGTGTTTACTTTGCCTTTTTTGACTGAATTGATTTAAGCGCACTTTATCATCAAGATGGCATATAATCCTAAAGAACCACGCGTCAACACTAACCATTACTTATGTGCTGTCACTCAGGTGGTGTAATCTATGTTTCTTAATGTCTAACTGACGTCGTCAACCAATTTCATGAACATTTAAAAATAGACAAAACTTATGAATGCTTTCAGTGTGACAAAAACAACAATCGTTGGATTTCCTGTTTTAACAGTTAACATTTGTATCGCAACTTGAGGTGTTCAACACAGGTGTCCACCTTGTGTTTTAGGGGGAATGTTGATGGAAATGAAACATAAATAAAACGTTCTTTTTTTTCTTGTGCATTCGCCGTGTCATTTCAAGTGCAAAAAAACTCTTCTGCCTGCTCAATCTTTGAACCCAAACTCTTCTTTCAATCTTTCACTTTTCTGCATACAGTGAAAGTTGAAGCAAATATGGACTAGATATCATCTTTAAAAAGTATACTGGGGGGCGCACCATGAGCAGAGGCTGGGGTCCACTGGGCAGGCGGCCCGGGTTTGGGTCTGGCCTGTGGCTCCTTTCCCGCATGACCTTCCCTCTCTCTCCCTGGTTTCCTACTCTTATCTACTGACCTGTCAAAATAAAGACAAAAAGCCCCCAAAATATCCTAATGGAAAAAAAAAAGTGCATACTCTTGCAAAAGGATAGTACTGCCTGGAACTTTGACCAGTGCCTCACATAAAAGTTGAATAAGTAACCTGCGTTGGTGTGGAAGATCCTTTTTGACCTCAGAAACGCTGTCGTACAAAAGAGTCTCTCTTCCTCAGCAGGTGGGAGTGAACTCGAGCTCCACCCGCTAGGACACATCACGTGTTTTGGTTGGGAGTGCCTGAAAATGCTTACAAGTAGACAGGAGTTAACACTTCATCATCACACTTACCAATGTTTACAGCTCACTGTGTGTCACAGAAACACCTCCCTTTTGCTTCCCTTTTCCATGAGATGGTTTTTGGGGGAATTTATTAGACAGGACAGTCAGAGAAAGAAAATAAACATGGTGAACAGAGAGATGTGATGACGTGTACTGAATGAATAATGATGTATTTATAAGTTATCTTTAATTTGTAAGAAGTGAATGTTGAATGTGTGTAAATACTGGATAGTTAGATGCAAACAAGTGTTCATTTAGGCTCTCAGATTATGTATAGTATAATTTTAATCCTATTAAAATACCACAATGTAGTTTGAACATACACCAACATAAAAACAGCTTTCTATATATTCTAAACTGCATTAGGATAACTTGGACATACTCAAAGACTGCTGTTTGAACATTGATTAGAAAGAGTGTTTTTATTCCCTTTTTTTTTTACACATTATCCGACAGTAAAACTGCTCAGTGCAAATACAAACTAAACTCCACAGCTTAATGTGACGTGTGTAGCCTCCACACAAAGAGGTAGTGAGTGTGTGCACATCTCAAATCCTTACCAAGTGAAGTGTTTGATTTAAACTGTGAGAAACAAGAGAAACATTGGAATCATTGTAAAGCAATGGATCAATTGTGCACTTTGTGTGCAACATGTGAAACCCCATTGTGTGTTCTATATATGAAGCAGCTTATTGTAAATGACAATCATTTGAAGGTATAACTTGATGATTTCAGAAAAAAAATGTTATTCCTACAGGGTGAAGGATGGGGATTGTTAGGTTTTCCTGTATTTTGGCCCTAAGCTTCAGTATTAATAAGGGCTCATTTACATGTAGAGGCCTTTACAAAGTTAATAAAGGGTTAAAAACGTACTTGCAGAGATTATTGGCATTAAAGACAAGTTTTATGTTTTAGGTGACGAGTCTTATTGACATCCATTGGCTTTTGGGTCGTCCAGCTTCTGGTTATCCATTATCTTGATGTTCTTTTCAGCATTCTCAACGTTCCTCACTAGAGTCTCGAGCCTCCTCTTGATCTTTTTTTGATCCTCCAGAGCGCAGCTGATCACTATGGCCTGAAACTTCTGGTCGATGGCAACAGGCGGGGCCTCGGTCACACAGGCGGCAAGCAGGGCCTGCAGCCGCTGGCGCCCGCTCGCCATGTCGTCCAGCAACTTTTTCACCATCTCATCGATAATAGATGTGGCATTGCGCAGCGCCTCCTCCTGCTGGGAGTTTCTGATGGTGCCCACAGAGATCTCCACAGACAGCGTGCGGCCCATCAGACGGTCTGCAGTTAAATCTAACTCTTCCCTCTCTCCTAGAAAACACAGAACAAGCAGGAAATCAAATATAAGATCACATAAGGAATCCAAGCGGTGGCTATTTGTCTCAATGCATATACATTTTACAAATCAAATATTATAGGCTAACTGAGAGATTGCACTAGATCTCTGTGAATTCTAACCTCCTCTTCTGTCCTGTATGTACAGTCCTGTGTAGTTTGCTGCATGTGGTCAATGTAGAGCTATTTACTAGGGGTGGGTGGAGAAATTATATGAAGCACAGTAACATGGTTTTACAAAAAAGACACAAAGTATCAATCTTAGATTATGAATTAAAACAGAAGTAAAACTATGCTTATTGAAAATGATTAACATTAATTTATTTTCTAATCCTCCGGTTGCTAAAGGGGCAACATAACATCGTTTTTTGTACAAGTTGAGTTGTTGAATAAACACATAAAAGTTTCTGACCTAGACTCTTTAGACATTAGTGCATTTCATGCAATGTTTACAGCAAGTTTTTATGACCGTGTCAGGCACTCAGTAGTGTTGTGGTACTTGTTGAAATCGGTCTTGGTCTCATCTTGGACTCTAAAGTAGTTTTACTTGGTCTTGTCTCGGTCTCGCCCTGCCTTGGTCTTGGTCTTGTCTCGGTTTTGATCCTTAAATGTCTCGGTCTCTGAGCACTCTGGTCTCGGTTAGTGTGGCCTTGACAACAACACTACAAATCACTGAACTAAGTTTGACAGACTTAAAGCTTTATTAGATAAAACAGATGTTTACTGAGGATCCCTTTAGGTATAACATTTTGCCGTTGCTCTTCTTTGTCTCTCTATTTCTGCATCGCCCTCTATCCCCTCTCAACCCAAACAAAGTTTCAGCAGATGGCTGTTCATCATGAGTCTGGTTCTGCTCGAGGTTTCTGCCTCTTTTAGGAAGTTTTTACTTTCCACTGTTACTTTGCTCAGTGCTGCGCTCATGGTAGATTAATGTTGGGTCTTTGTAGAAAGTAAAACAAAGAGTAAGGGTCTTGATATAACTTTTGTTATGAATTGGCACCATACAAATAAATAATTGATTGATATTTTACTGCTGAATGCAAAACAAATTGCTCTCTCGCAGGGATAATAAAGACAACCTTGAACCTTGATATATCACAATGTTCTTGTATAACATCAAAGTTATTCTGGTAATATCAAAGTGTATCTCCTCTGTCTTACATCCAAGTCCTTTTTATATATATGTGTTGTCTTTTTATCCTGAAGGAAGCCACCTTTTATATCTCATAATATGAATAATATTTTAAATTGAGAACATAAACTAAGATCTTGGTTCATGCTTGGGTGGGGTGCAGAATCTCATGTTGCCTCGTTCCCTCCCCTGAGATTCTTGAACAACCACCACCCTGTGCTCCAGCGCTCAAAGCATAACCTCATTGGATAACAATGTTCCAGTGAAATCCCAGTTTTTACAAGGTGGAATCAGACTCTCGAAGTTGAAGAAGTCAGCAGCCTCACCGGCACAGATGTTCCGCATTTCTTGACTGTTCTGTATGGACTGAAGCATTTCCAGGATGCACTCTCTTTCCTGCTCCATGGCCGATGCTGTTTCACGCAAAGCCTCCACCCTGCCGGGACATAAAAAAAACCAACATATGACCACATCCACATCCTTTCGCAAGAAAACATAACGGACTGCTGCAAAGAGACAGTCATAATGGAAAATCTGAGAATCAAATTCATTCTCATTTTATTACACTACATTATAAAAAGTTACCCCCAATACACACCTTTTTATTTTCAATAAACTTTTTATAAATTTAGTTTACTTTCATTTTCTTAGAGGTAGTAGGCCTATTTTTTACATGAACATACTAATCATAAAAGTAGCTTTAAAGTGCCTGAAACAGCCCCTGAAGCGTCCTGCATGTACCGCACATGTCCCGGCCCGTTACTGTACCTTATTTCCAGCTGATCCAAATGTTCCAGGAGGCGTCCGGAGCGATCAGCCATGGACATCGTCCTGCTGAACTTGCACGGACCGTCGGTCATTTTGGAGTGGATTTTCGCCTGAGCCATGATGTTGAAGAATGGTTAGCCTACTTTAAAGATCCCTAAAGCGGAGAGAAAATCCTCACTGCGTGCGCCGACACTCTGAACTGTCCGGCAGTCTGAACGCTCCTCTCTCTCTCTCTCTCTCTCTCTCTCTCCGCCTGCAGCAGCTCCCAAGGGTGAACATTTCCAAACATGGGCTGTGACTTCCTTCACTCCTGTCCTCGTAGAAGTTTCCCGAGGAGACCAGAACAGAGGTTCCCAATACCAGGTCGGAGGACCCCCTGGAGGTCCCCTAGAAGCTCCAGTGGGTCCCCCATAAACACTGAAATAAGTGTGACAGTTCTGGTTATTTAGTTGTTACTCCTACATTATTTATAGGTGATTGTAAATCTGAACTTTAAGGAAATATGTTTCAATTGCTTTATTACAACTTTTGGACACTAGTGGAAAGCTTTTAGGCAGGATTTTGTTTTAAGTGGTTAATCAGTAACATGCAGGCAAAGGTTAAAAAATAAAAATAAAAAAATAAAAAGGGGGAGAAACATGATGTCAGGTCGAGGTCACTTTGTGCAAGAGAACAGAAAAAAGCCATAATGCGTTAAATACTGAAAAAAGAACAGTGTATGTGGGTTTGTATGTACAGTACATGCACCTGTTTGCAGAACAAAATGTTCTAATTATAGGCACTTTCACCATCTATTAAAACAGAGAGATACTATTCATTGCTGTTGTTAACATTATGACATTTTATATTTAATAATCCTGATCTTTCAGTCCTGTTCTTATCAGCTTGCTGAAGTTTATACTTCTTCCACTCCTCGAAATCGAAACAGAAAGTATTTGAGAGCTTCTTTTGTATGACATTGTTCATTTGTCTCCTTTTTCAAAGTTTACTTTTCTTCTCTCTTTATTTTACATTTCAAAAATAAACTGAGCTTCAAAGGTTTTTTGTAATTACTGTCTTCTTTGCATCAAAATGAGAAGACCACATTGAACCCTACATGTGACTTCCGCTGTGAAATTAGATGGTGAGTGCTAAATACTACAACGTGGACTTACAAATCCTCATGAACTTGATCGAACTTTTCGCTCATTTTGTTGTTTTGTGCGGCAAAACAAACTGAGATAAAGTGAACAAAACAGCAACTGAAACTTTAAACTCGATACAGTGATCTGAAGACATTAAGAGGTCTAAATCCAACATGAAGATCCTCCATGACAAAACATAAAAAAAAGGACATTTCCACCATTAGACCGGCCTTTCTTAAGTTTTATGAAATGCACTGGATTCAAAGTCTGCCATGAAACCCGAGACAGCCACTGGAGACGCAGTTGTGGTCACAGGTCAAGGGGCGGCATTTTGCACGGTCATCGATGCCATGTATAGCACACATGTCGTCAAACAGAAGTGACGAGTCTCCACAACAGATGACCTTGCATAAATCCACAAGCTAACATTCTTAAACATGCCGTCTGCTGGAATGAGTGAAATGAGAGGCCTCGTGAGATGGGAATGAGCTGTATTGACTTGTTTATTGTCATATACTGATAAATGTTTATATTGATTAAAACAGAAAAACTTAATAGCGACATACATTTATTGAAATCATTCTGAACACAAATACCTGGTACAAAACATTTCAAATATAATGTCTGATGAATGTTAGATGTTGTTTTTATCATCGCCTTAAAACTCTAAGAGACTTCTTTTGAGAGCTTCTTCCAACTCTGAAAAAAAAGAGGAAAAAAGCAGAATATATTACTCAAATGTAAAGCATGTGCAAAATAAACACTGAACACTACAACAGCATCAAACCACATGTGCCCCTACACAACACATTGTTAATAACAGCTGTGACTCATAAAGGCCACATATTATGCAAAATACACAATGTGTTCCTAACCTGCCTACAAACCTCCCAATTAGGGTAGATTTTCCCTTTGTGACATCACAAAGGGCAGTGACCCCCCTCCCCCAGGTGGGTGACACTCCCACAGCTCGGTGTTTGTTCTGCCCTCTAAGTCTGCCTTCTCAATGTAAACTATAGCCACCCAAGTCCTTCCAGAGAGGGGGCGTGGTCAGACACAGCTCATTTACATTTAAAGGTACAGACACAGAAACAGCCTGTTCTGAGCAGGGCTGAAATGGAGGGGTTTATAGACATGATCAAATACAGGATCAGAGTGGATTTAGAACAAGAAACTTCACACACATGTTTTGAGGAGCTCTGAGACTTATTTAAACTGGTTGAAAAGGAGGATAATATGTGACCTTTAAATAAATATTGATATCCTCCATATTCATGTTAATGTTTTCAGTGCAAAGACTAAACTTACTGTCAATAATTTATTATTTACTTTAAACAGGTTTATCCTGTCATTTCACAGAGTTTGTAATAAGCATGCTATATTTTGGTTTTAGTTGTCTGTCGCCACTCGAGGCCAAATACATTTTTAAGAATGCATAACTAACTTTTCTCTGATGAAAAATGAAATAACTTGAAGATATTTGACTGTCTGTAATGAATCCACGGAGAAGATAGAACAACCTAACAGACAATGCAGCTACTGCAATTGAAACAGCGGGCTGCGACGAGTGATAAATGTTCTCATGGGAAGCCAGAGGATTACATTCTTAGGGATATAAACATTTACAGTACCTTCAGACTCTCTTGATTCTTCTTCTGCACTCACAGAAAGTCCATGGTCCATCTCCTCCTCAGAATCATCTGGAACACAACACAACATGACTTCCACATTTAAAATGCATTATAAAAAATACAAGGAATTATGAGCCTACATAGTGTAAAAGTAAGGAGTTTATAATGTTCAGTGTTTGATTGGATATAGTATTCCTAGTCTTAATTGCATTAAGAGTTGAGCTACAGTCTTCTGTATTGATATTAAATATATTTAATACACATTTTATTGCATTGGATAAAACTAGCCGCTGACAATTGACAGAACGGTGATGCCTCTATAGAGGAATGAGTTACACCATTGCAATGTTTTTGTTGTTGCCTACTTTCTTGCACTTCCATCTCCTTGTTGGCCTGATCCATGTTCATGACCTCATCCAGTACGTCGTCTTCAATCTCTACAATGACAACAAACAGCAGAATAAAATGCTGCACAGACGCTGATAATAAAGACGTCAAACGGTTTAAACTGTATTTACCATCGGTGTTTGGTTTGATCTCCTGAGCGACCAGGATTTTTACAGTGGTCGGCTCGACTTTTACGCCTTTGCTGCAGGTTCTGGATGTTGTCCTGCAAGGTTCCAGTGTGCAGTGTTGGGAGTGATGGTGTTTATGGAAACTCGGTACGTCTGTAAATGTCTCTTGGCAAGCTTCGCATTGTACTTCGAATGTCTTGACCAGGATAAAAGCTTGGTGTTGTGTGTGAATGTGAGTCTTGATCCGCGCGTAGGAAGGCAAACATGTACCACAGTGATCACACACAAACTGACATTTGCCTTCAGCAGACAGATTCTTCATGCACTGTGTATATGTAGCCTTCCTTTCCTCTTTGCTTGTGTCAGAACCCATGCATGGACATGTCGGCTGATTGGCGCTTTCAACAACAGTGGGCTGAACAACCTCATCCATACAGTAGTAGTCCTTACTGTGAAGATTCTTGTAATGCTCCAAGAACTCTCCCTCCGACTCGAACTGCATGCTGTCGCAGAGGCCGCAGAAGTGGAAACTCTTCAACTCCCCGTTGTGCTCGTTCATGCAATGTCTGCGCACGGTGGACTCTTTGAAGAACTTCTGCGGGCAGTGTCCACAGATGTATCTCTGGTAGCTGTGACTGCTCAAGTCCTTGCAGTGTTTGTGTACGTCGGCTTCTGAGTCGAAGATGTCCTCGCACATTCTGCACATCCAGGTCTGACCTGCTGGTGGAGAAGGAGTCTCCAAGGTGCTCTGCAGGACTCTGGACTTTGAGGATAAACGTGGGGCGACTCCGCTGCTGGTGGACGGCTTGGCATCCATGACAGCGGCCAGCTCCTCCGGCACTTCCTGTTCAGTGTAATAGGTGTGTCCACTGTGAGCTTCTGACACATGTGATAAGATGTCTTGATACCGAGGCATTTCCACTTTGCATTTACAGCAGTAGAAGAGGAAGTTAGAGAGATGAGCACCCCCGTGCATGCGACTCATATGCAGGCGGGCTATTGAGGACTCTCCCATGTGTTTGCCACACACACCACACTGATGAAAAATCTGGTTCACGGCCAAGAGATGGTTACTGGCTGCAGCCTCCTCTGGATACTGTTGACCACACTCGCAGAACCATAACGTCGTAGTGTTGCCATTCACACTCGTGCTCTGTTTCTGCCGTTTGGCTGGAGATTCTTCACCATCTCTCCTCTTCTTGATTCTTTTTTGAAGAGGTGTTTCAGGGCCAGTGGACTGTCTCTTCCTCTGGGCCTCTTCAGCCTTCTGGGTGTGTTGAACATCTCTAAACCTGCAGTGCTGAAGGATGGCTTTCGCCATTGTTTGGTTGACCTCCACATCATGCTGGGTCGACTCCTTGTGCATATCAATTTCAGCTTGGCTGAGGAAGATTTTACAGCATAGGGAACACTGCCCTCTCACTTGCAGCTGCTTCATCACCTGTACTATGGTTTTATCAGCCTTGGCTACTGCACAGCCCTGTCTGCAGTGCACGCTAATGAGGAAAAATAAAGAAAGGAAAAATCAGTTCTTCACTTCTGAAAAAGAATCTGTCTGCGATGCAAGAATGTGACACCAACAGATTATAATCATCCTACATGCACAGAATAAATGAGAATGAAACTTACTTGAAATGAGCTTGAGCGGTCTGATGTGAGGTCAGTACTTTGAAACAAAGAGAGCAGCGGACACTAAATGTTGTATCCCTGCACAAAGTGACCAGACGATTCTTCACATATTGCGGGATGGGAACTGGCAGTCCTCTTCCTCTAGTTTCTGTACAAAGAAAAGAAGAGTAGAAAGGTACATGTATTCATATTTATAGGAAAGCATCTGAGCTATTTCTTTTAGACATTCACACAAGTACAATTGGAAAATAAGCCTGAAATAACAACCAAAGTAGTTCAGAATATTTCCCTTATCTAGCATGCATCGGAATCATACTTTAAGGATACATTTTGCAGTCACATGTATACAATCACATTTATAAAAATGATATTTACACATAATTATCAATAACAAAATCCATGTGACTGCATATAATCAGAAGATTATAAGATATATTAGATTTCTTTTAAATTGACATGTGAAGTTCTAATGGAAATCTACAGAAAATAAATTCTTAAGTGAACTTTACCATTCATGGCGAGTGACTCTGTGAAGTGGTTTTTGGTGGACATGTGCTGAAGACACTCATCTCGGAGGTTAAACAGGAGGTAGCAGGCAGGGCAGGCAAAACAGGAAATCCACTGATAGATCTGATTGATGCTGTGACCGTCAGGGGAAGATGAGGATACCTGGTATAAGAAACAACAGAATTCAAGTTGTTATTCTTATTTCAGAAAACCAGGAACCATAAAATCAGATACAGTGAAGTGCACAAACCTTAGACTCCAGATGTTTCTTCCACGCTTCTTTAGTTTGAAAATGTTGACCACAGGCAACACAAGCCAAGAGCTGGGATTGAGTTCCTTTGAGATTGATGGCTGGGTCGCAGGGGGAGTGATCAAACCTACACACAAAACATATTATTGGTGAACATGTCATAATGGTTTGAAGCTGTTCCACAAAAACTGAACAGAAGACAGAAGGATCACCTTTTTAAGTGCCCACCCAGGAGGGGTGCACTGTCATAAACTCGACCACAGTTGACCACTGGACAGACGTGTCTGGTTGAACTCTCACTGGGGAAGGGAGCTGCTCTGACTCTTCTTCCAAAACCAGTGCTGATCACTCCAGGTCTAGCACCTTCAGAAACACAGAGGTACATTGAAATAACTTTTACAGAGCCATTTGCAGCTCTCCAACACAAAGCAAGTAGCGCTGTTAAAAGTTGCTGTGTGTCTGTCTCTTAAAACAAAATGACATTTTGATCATACGTGTGAAACGTGTGGATCATGGATAGCAATGCTGACAGCTTTGCAACAGATGAAACATTTACCTGGCATCTTTAACCACATGTCTACACAGCGCTTTGCTTCCCGATTAGCTCCATTTGCAGGGCTAAAAGATACCCCCTGTTGTCCATGAGCTCTTTGTGAGATTTGCTTCTCCTAAAAAGAAACATGAAGACATGATTAAGAACAAAACAGAGCATATTAATTTATGATAAAACCAACATTTAATGGTTTGATCATGCTACAGAACGTGTCAAATGTTCATTAATGTTGGTTTTCTAAGCTACAAAGGAAGAATAATGTTGTTTGGAGGAAAAACAATTCAGTTCATTCTAGGATAACTTAACTATTTTTTCCACATGGTGGCACTGTTGCTGCTGCAACTGGCTTTACTTGACACCACATACAAGCCCTTTTCATTTGGCCGGCCATGGACGAAAAGCTGCCCTTCAAAAAGGTTTTGATCAAGCCCTTCCAGGGTAGCCATAAAACATTAATTTAAAATATCACCTTTTCCTAGAGTTTTTCTACGACTTTGACAGCATTGAAGCTTCAATTGAAGCTTTTCGGAGCAGTGAATGACTATTCTGCAACACTGCTTAATCTATTTTAGGCATCGTAAGGGTATCGTATCCTTGGTCCTGCAAAGTAGGTCCCACAAAAGGCATTAGGCTCTATCTAGTTTTATTTTCCTGTTTCAGGTTTTGCACATTAAACGTGAATGATTCGATAACACCACAAAACTAGTCATTTCATTTGGGGCGCCAGATAGCCTAGTGGTTATGTTGCACGCCCCATCATGTACAGAGGTTATAGTCCTCCTCATGGTGGCAATGGGTTCAAATCTGACCTCTGCCCTCTATTGCATGTTATCTCCAACTCTCTCCTCCCAACATTTCCTGTCTCTCTTTAGCTGTCCTACCTGATAAAGGCATATAAGGCCCAAAAACAACTTAGAAAAAGTGACATCAGCACTGATTAGATTAAAGTGGGAACAAGAATTTTTTTTTTTTTTTTTAACCACTTCGCTTGCATGCTTTTCCATCACTTCATAAAATGAACAACCCAAGGGAGGAAAATGGTCTAGTATTGAAGTAACCTTACCTTGAATGCTCTGCATTTATTCGCTCTTTCCTTTTTCTCTAGAGCTACCTGGTGTGCTAGTCTGTCCAGGGTGGATGTAACACGCCTCCTCTGACAGGTGATTTCATCTTCAACCTATAGGAGAGTATGTTGAAAATTTCAGAATGCTGTAGAAAGATATGAAATTATTGTACTAAAATGACTAAAAGATTTCTTTTCAGTCACTCACAGTGCCTGCCCATGATGAACATCCCTCATCCTCACTATCATCACTCAGTAGATCAATACATTCCAGTACTGGTCTGACTTGACCCTCCTGAAACGGTAAAAGACACCATGTCATTTAGAAATGTACAGGTTCACATCTAGGCCTGACTCAAAGCAACACAGAAACTTTACAAAGTGCCTTGCATAAGTATTCATGCCCCTTAATCTTATCCATATGTTGCTTCACATCAAATTAAAGTGTAACATAATAGATGTCCGCTTTTTGGATTGCTCTTGTTAAATAATCAAATAGTAATTCTTAGCCCAAATGAGACTGTTTTGAAATCAATTTTAGATGTAAAATATGGATTAGTCCAACTTACTGATACAAACTCCACTTCCTCCACCTCATCTTCGTCCGCTTGGGTTGGAGAAGACATTTATCTGAGGAAAACAAGGCTCATGTTACTTTCAAAGATGCAGCCCTTATTTAGAACATGCATGTAAGTGGAGGGGCTGTAGCCTAACGTATATAATATGGTATATACAGGATCCAGCTAGACGGGTGTCAATCACTACTTTAGACCTTTAAGAGACAGGTTGTTGACTCGAGATCAGTCAAAGTAATGCATGACCATTTGTTTTTTCACATTTGCCACAACAGCTGAATTACGCTTAAGCTCAGGGGTTCCCAAACTTTTCAGCTTGTGACCCCCTAAATAAGGGTGCCAGAGACTGGGGACCCCCCACTGTGCAGAGAGGTGGTTATGACCACCACCACTCAATAATAGGCCTACCCAAAGACAAAATATATATAGTATTGTATTGTATTGAAAGGCTAGATGCAAAATACAAGTAAATTTCATGTATAGACTTAAGTAGTGGACATACAAACTTACTGAACATACACACAGGTGTGTCCATCTTTATGTGCAAAGAGCAGCAGACACCTTCACTGTTGCTGCCATTTGCAAACTTACATTTTAAGTATTTTTACACATTGATTTCACTTAGTGACTGGGTTTAATTCGCAAATTAACTTATTTTTGGATCTGTGTTTACAATAATAAGTAAAATATACAATCTTAAGTTATTTCAATGTTAATCAGTGCTTCTGGAAGGCATTTCGCGACCACCCCTCTCAGTGTCTCCACTTTGGGAACCCCAGCCATCAACAGATTCACATGAATACGACAAAAGCTTTTCACATTTGATGACCTTGCTAACAGTAGTTCTTACAGCAGGCAGCTGTTGAAACGACGTGAGGAAAGGTGACTAAAATAGCACACGTTTATATATTTGAAAATCCACCTTACAACATTTTTTTTTTTTTTTGCATTCAGTAAAACTTCAGTAGAGTTTACTTCAACTCGAGGCTTCTTTAAAATAACAAAACTTAACTTACGCCTGTGCTATGCCAGCCAGTTTCACCAACAACAGTTTCACCAAAAAAATTCAACATATTCAACTTCCTCGTTTCCTAATCGGAGAGTTTATGTTCAGTACTGCCACTGGTGGCTGGAAGCGAAACTGCGATTCTAAAATAAAAAAAATCAAAAAAAAATCAGTGTTGTTGCAGTACAGCTTTCGGCCACTGGCGGCAGCACTTAGCGCTTTGCAGAGAAGAAGCGGCAAACTGAAATCACTGCGTTCAGGAGCTTCTCGGATGCTCGGAGTTCTCAGTGTCGAACTATGCTTTGTCGGCTTCAGTTCGTTCACAGGCTTAATTACGCCATTTGGAAACAACAAGGACGTCATAAGACATGGTCAATTACATTTTATGTCTGAGTAGTAACCCAAGTCACTCCTCGTGGAAACAAGCAAACAGTTAAACAGACCAAGAATTTACTTTCCCACGTGGTAAACTCATTTTTTTCGACCGTGTGGACGCTACATGAACGCGCCGCATCATTTTGTGCATCACACCCACTTAAATGAATAAATAAATCAAATATGTGGCTGACAAGTTCGTCTGTTAGTTGGTGGCTTCATATTATCAACCAGCATCTTTAAAAGCAGCGAAACGGTGACGTGAACGCTTCAATCCGGGTTCCGTCTGGGCAATGGGCAAGCTAACATTAGCTGACGTTTCCCATAGCAACGACTTCACTTCACTGTTCTTAAGTTATGCATTGTAAACAAGATGAAGTTGGACTTTTTGTCGGTTGAATATGGTTTAAATAGAATGAGGAGGCTGAACATTTACCTACTTGTTATTCTTGTGACGCCTCATTTGAGAAAGTGGTCGCTTGCTGCAACATCAAAGTAAAAGCAGCTGGTTTGGTCTGCAACGTCATTTCGACTGTAAATGAAGCGCTCCTTTTTCTACACGGGGTGTGCCGTACGGGCGGGGTTACCGATCTTCCCTGCTTTGATTTTCTTGGCTGAGGTTGTGAAGTTGTGGCCAACTACATCTATGTTACCTGCAGAGTTGAATAGAACAACAATATAGAAAGTAGGCTACATAAATAGATTTTAAGCCTAATCTGTATCCACATATCACATAGGGCAGTGGTTCCCAAAGTGGGGGTCGCGGCCCACTGGGGGGGTCACGAGATTTCTTTCAAAAACATGTAAAAAAATTGTTTAAAATTGGATATTTCACCCATTCATTTGAAAATACAGTAGGTAAAAAAAACTCTTACAATAAATTACAAAAATAATATGATGGTGTTTGGCCGTATTGTTTGCTGTTTTAATGCCAGTGTTTTGACCTAGTGCGTCAAATGTGGGGTCCCAAGTATCTATCACCGTCATAATGGGGGTCGCAAGCTGAAAGTTTGGGATCCCCTGACATAGGGTATTTAAAATGGCAAATTGTTTGTAAGAGGTGATTCAAGATTCAAGACTTTTATTTGTCACATGCTCATACAGATGTGCAATGAAATGTAAAAGACTGTTCCGCAAGGCCATGCAATAAACACTCAAATTGCTAATACACATATATACAGTAAAATAGAAATATAATGTAACATTTAAAAATAAATATTTGAATATACAAAATATAGAATAATGTAAACAGTGTAAAGTGTCACTGTGTAAAGTGTCCAGGGTGTCGAAGTGCAATGTGCAGACTGGAATGTGTGGTGTGTGTGTGCATCATGTAGTCACAGTTCTGTTTTGTTTTTAACTGAGGAGAGTGGAGTTAACAGTCCGGACAGCCTGAGGAAAGAAGCTCTTCCTGAGTCTTTCTGTGTTTGCCTTGATGTGTCGAAGGCGCCTGTCAGAGGGTAGCCACATAAACAGTCCGTTACTGATGATCTGTTAAAATACTATTTACATGAAAACAGAAATGTGTTTGTCTGTAAGTGCACAAATAAGAGTGCTTATGTTGAAACTTTACAGCACTTAGTAATAAACCATAATCAATTAAAATCCAGCTGTCCTTTCTAAGGTTTTATAGATTTACTGTACATAGAAGTTGCTGTATTTATTTAACTTAACTAAACCTTTCATCTACTATAAATAAAACACACTGACAAATTAGAAAAATGTACATTTGTTACAAATAACACAATTGAAATTCTTTATTCGGAATAACCCCCTTGAGATGTGTCATCTCACTTTCAGAGGGGATCCTTAAATACAGAGATGTACATACAGAACAAGACAAGACATTTAACACAATTTAAGACAAAAAACAGAGAGAGAAAAAGAAAACAGAACTAAACAATGTCAAATGATGATAAGGCGTACAAGAGCCTATTCACAGCAGAGCATAAAATCCAATCACTGATCATAAGAAAAAAAAACTAAGTCATTTAGACAGTGGAACATACACACAGCATAAACTATAATATTAACGTGTTGAAGCAGTGTTATTATGGACAGTTCACAGATTAATCTAACTTAAAACTCTCCCTCCAGTAGGACTTGCAAAATAGATTGTAAAAGGTCACATAATATACAAAATACACTTTACCATGTTTTTCTAACACTAATATGTGTCTCTAGTCTGTCTACAAACCCCCAATTATGAGAAAAGTCCATCCTCTCCGTCTTCTCCCTGCTCCACTTTTCAGAAAATGTGTGCTCAAACAGGCTGTTTGGAGATTTTCCCTTCATGACATCACAAAGGGCAGTAACCCCTCCCCCAAGTGGGTGACATTCCCACAGCTAGGTGTTTGTTCTGCCCTCTGAGTCTGCCTTCTCACTGTAAACAATCGGGCATGATGCAAGAAATCCCAAGCCACATCCCTTTCCAGACGGGTGTGGTCAGACAGCTCATTTACATATTTAAAGGTACAGACACAGAAAAAGCCTGTTCTGAACAGGGCTGAAATAGAGGGTTTTATAGGCATGATCAAATACAGGATCAGAGTGGATTTAGAACAAGAGACTGCAACGATGCATCGGTTCAACATTCATATCGGCTGTTGACAGACATCAGCAAATAATGTGGCATGAAGCAAAGTCAGTAGCCGATGTTTATTTGTTGTGCTAAATCTGTTTAATGCTGACATGTAGTACACCAAACTGCTGATTCATAGAGGAGGTTTTTTATTGGGCAGATGAAGTCACCTGTTGAAACAAACTCTGGCTTGTTTTCATTGTCAAACATGAGAGAAAATGTTGCCATGGTGGAAGTCTTACACCAAAACAAGTCACAAAACAAACAAACCGCAGTATCAGATTGTGCATCGGTGCCAAGCAGTGCATCTCAGCTTCAAATCTTCAATTCTTCTTTTTTAAATGATATTACATGATGTATTTCCAACATGCTAAATACTTGACACATATATGCAATATTCTTCTGTTGATATTTTATTCTGTATCGGCCTTTTCAGAATTGCAAATAAAACATTTTGCTCTCAGTATACCTCCTTGCTTGCCTGAGTCTTTCATCCAGTTAAAGAAAAAAAAAAACACATGAAATGACACGAGTTCATCCCAAAAAATTACATAACAGCGTGGATTATGATGTCATTGTTTCCCTCCCTCACTCTGAAAGTATGTGGCTCATTTGGGAGCCTCTCTTTACAACAAGGTGTATTTAAAAGGGCTTTTAAGTGTCCTTATAATGCAAAATAAACCTTAACAGACATAACAAATAATTGTGTTTAAATAGTAATTAACAGGATCATAATGCAACTAATGATCCCTGCAGCACACTGCTGTTGACCATCACAGACGTGGATTCATACTCGTCTAGTATTCCTAATTGTATTGTTATTAGTGTTAGAGCATTATATCCTTTTGGGCAGCAGACTGTGCAGCAGATTATACTGCGATGCTCGGATGAATCTGCTGACTCTGCCTGCCCCTGTTGTAAAAATAAATAAATAAATAAACTAGACGACTGTGCTGAGTCATGCGTTGTATACCTCACAATAATGTTATCAATAGTCTGGGCTGTTGTCTTTGCAACTACATGCTCTCCACGGATTGCTGTGCGATGCTCTACGTGTGTCACTCAGTGTCTTTATTCTCATCTTGAGCTCTCAGCGACATAACGGAGGGAGAGGAGCCAGCTGTCTGAGGGCTGCGGGATCTGCCCCACATCTCGCCTTTTTACGATGATTGCTGCGGCGTTTTTGGTCCTGCTGCGGCCGTACAGCATCCAATGTGTGCTGCTGTTGTTGTTGCTCTTGCTCGGGACTATAGCGACAATTTTGTTTTTCTGCTGCTGGCACCGCAGGCTTCGCAACGGAAAACATCCAATAAAATCTGTGCTGTCCGGACGCACCAGGAGCCGCGGTGAGTAGCGCAGGCCAGCCACATCTCCGCACGATGACAGCTCATCTCTGTGCACTTACATGCTCTGTATGAAGTCATATTAGTCTATTTAATGTGGGTTAGCAAGCAGCAAAGTCAATATCACCTACCTGTTTCTGCAGTGGGAGAAATCAAACACTTCATGCAGGCGTCAATAAGTGTGAAGACTCTGTGATAGGATGTTTTTAGTTAAGTCTGTTATCAACCAAATGCATTACTATAGTTAATACTTGCACTGTCACACTTCATGTAAGGCATATTCTTCTCATTCTAACATCTGTTATCTGTCTTGTAGTTGGCCTCCGATCACATCATTTCCGATCAGAGGTAGGATAAACTTTTCTCATTATGGATCAGAGTCATTTCATTCTAACATCTCTTTTTTAAAAAAAAAATCTGCAGTTATTTGTCTGAAAGCATCACGTAGCATGCACCCTTACGATCTTTACAGGACTTAAATGACAAATGGTCCTGCCCAACAGCTAGTTTCTTTGGACTTTACAGAAGTGGTCGACTATTTTAAGGACCATGATGTACGCATTGCGCATGTTATCCCAGTAAATAATGGAGGTGATTTTGCACTTTTATTCTTTAAGGAAGGTTCAAGCTCTTTAAAGTTTATCCATCAGAGCAAACGTTAGTATGAGTGAGCCCTTAAATAAATAAAAAAAACTCCATTGAATGATTTATAATATAAGCAATATTATGTTTGATGCTCAAATGCGTTAAGCACAGTTTCACTCGACTTACTTCCGTTAACTTTCTTCCCCTTCAAAATAAAACATCATCTCCAAATTATTGCGTATGTCACAGTGTATGAAAATGGCCTCAAAACATATCCACTGCAAATCATGGCAAGATTATTGCCATGATTTGAAGATAAGAGCTGTCTTAGTAAACACAGTAATGTTTACATGACTGATCATTCTGAAACTGTCTAAAATAAAACTAACTTTTTTATCTGGCTCAGTTCAGTAAATTTCGTCTTAACGCATCAATAATGTTTTTTTATTTTATGCAAGAATATTGTTTAATAAAAGGGTCAATTAAAGCATGTCTACAGTCAAGATAATGCATGAAGACAGCAACAGTGGAAAAAGTCGAACAAACATAAAAACAGCAGAAAAATAAAAAAGAAATCCCTTATAAATGAAAATGTGTATAGCTCAAGTGAATGAGTGTGTGGAAGCCCTAACAGAAATGCATCAACATATATGATCTTACTCAGTTTCCTGTGATAATAAGTAAATTTCTGTTTGTTTTTCTCAAGATCTCGACTATTTAACCTCTTTATCTCGAGATAACAACGCTGGTTTTCCTGTGATAATGAGTTAATTTATTAAATTGTTTTCTTGAGATCCAGAGAAAAATTACTGCAGCATCATCTTGAAATAAAGACATGAGTAAGTAGAGATTTCAAGAAAACAAACTGAAATTTCAAATAAAATGTAAGGATGTTTGTCCACTTTGGGCTTCTGTATATGTAAACATTTTACTTAAGAATTTAATTTTCAGTGCCATGTTTAATTTCTATGAGTGTCCAACAACCCATTGGTTCATGAATTACATTAATTTTAAAACTGTGTCAGCACAAAAACAAAGTTATCAGTTTTATTGTGAGAAAAAAAAAGGCAAAGATTTCAAAAGCTTGCCTTTCTGTGCAGGTTGTTATTGAACCACAGGACACTGGATCCTTGTTGGCTCAGTACTGTGGCTGCTGGGGATTCAGTATCATGTTCAAGGACACAACAGCAGGATTGCTGAGCTGTAATGTCGAAGAACAGTCTCCCTGATCTTTACTTCCAAATATAATAAGTCCAACAACAAACAGCTCCTCAAGAAAACCTCAGAAAGGAGCAAAAGAAGAAGGCAACATGTCAAAGTGTTACACTCAAAATCTGCTCTCTTTTGAGTGCAGTCCTGTATCGATTAGAGTTGCTGTGTCATCTTCTGTAGAATCTCTGGCTCTGAAATCTAGGTCATCTACCTTTTTAGTGCCTCCCTACCTTGTTCATTTCATAATGACAGCTTTTAATTTCTCTTGCCCAGTCTGCTGAGAGCATTATCTGCCGCCAGCTTGATGTTTGCTCATGCTTCCCAGGGCTTCAGGCACAGTCCACGTCATGTGAGAAGGAGCCTACACGCTCGAGTGACGGAGGAGAAGCCCAATCTGGTCGAGATTCCGGAGAGTGAACCTGATTCATCATCCGGTCTCAGAAAGCGCAAAGTGAAGAAGAGAGTCCTGCCAGAATTTTACCAGTCTGTGCAAGTCACCCCCACACGCAAACCTGTAGGTACCTCCCTCAAACAGTGAATGTGATTAGTTATTATAATACTGTTGTTTGCTTGCTCCCCTTCCACAGGGACATCAGTGCCACTCTGAATCTGGTAAGGATTCAGACATTTGTCAAAAGGAAAACTGCTTGTTTTCAGGGTATCAACCTTGCTCTTTCAGGATGGTCATTTATTGGTCCTCATTCAAATGAAATGTGTTTTTGTTATGGGGTTCTTACCTTGTTTCCATGTGTGTATTGTTTACTTAGTGATGAAAAAATATGGACAAAAACGTCATATAAACATGTTATCTCAACTAGACACTTTCACTTTCACATAGAAGGGGATCTCAAAGTAATTTCAAAGCACCTTTCAAGGTCATCTCTATATACCCTAAATAATCTGAACACGTTCTATTTAAGAGGAAATCATTTTATTTTAAATGATAAAACACCTGTATTTGTCACTGCAGCTTATATAATGTAATATATTAAAATAAGGCCTTCATGCTCTGGTGTCTTCACATATAGCGTGCATATTCTAAAGGTAGTGCAGTCCTGTGTGTTACAAAAAGATGAGCTATTTATCCGACATTTACACCCAAAAAAAAACATTGGTCCATGCATCATTTTCACAAGATGACCATGCAGGATTTTCTTGAGGGAGCGCACAACGAATCTCTTTCTATTAGCTCTTTATCAGTCTGGTTTGACAGATTTACAATTAAGTGCTCAAACGATTATCCTCCATTTTTTTTAACAGATTCTAAATTTCTGTTCATGTAGTCAGCATGCTGGTACGTGTCCACTTTAATCCTTTCTAAGTCCTTTAACAATTTACCATGTTGGCATGGCAACACAATATGTATCCTCATGGAGCAACAGTTCAGCTATTCAGAAACTCACAGTTAAAAGGAAAGTAACGAGTATGTCAGTTTTACACCTGACCCATATGTTGATCCGGGTCTAAAGGTGAAAAAAACACGGCTGGGAATATGAACCGAAGGCCTCGTGCACGTTGAACCCTTTTTTGTTTTATTGTGATTTCTTTCCTCACCGGTGAATATATTATTCTTGTTACAGAAGAATTATGCTTCCACACTGACATAATCACAGAGTCAGTGGGTGTTTTTGAATGTGTCTAAATGTCAGTGTCATATATTGTATCCAGAATATTAACCAACCTACACAGCTTTTATCCCCGACTGCAAAGCTGTGACTGCTGCATGAAATTCTAATTCAGTACCCGCCTTGACATGACAATGATGTTTGAACTGTTTGTGTTTAAAGGCAGCTATTGATCTGTGTGATGCTGTTGTAACTTCCTGCTTCCAGTAGTTGTGTGTTATCCTACAGATAACCAACGCAAACAGTTTGCAGCTATTTCATCTTAGCCATTGTCAGCAAAAAAGACCAATCCAAAGATTGAAATCGATGGGATTCTTGCCATGCCTAATACCACAGAGGGTATGAAGAATGGACGATGCCCCTCCCCATAGTAGAATAATGAAGCCAAAATACCCCGTTATTGTCACTGACATGTGCTGTGAAGAGTCGCAGTTTACGATGCCACGCCCCTGCCGCTAACCAAAACACACATTAAACCTACCGTTAAAAAAGCAAAGATCCCCCAGGTCAGTTCAGTCACTACAGAACAGATTCTTGTGTTGGTTTGAAGCAAACACTCACATTTATGGAAGTTCAATGACTCCTGTGTGAGTTCTCGCTCTGTTTCCTCTCGCTGTTTCTGCTCCACTCTGCTAATCTGGTGCACACAGCAACGCAGAGGCCTCATTGGTCAACAGAGCTGTCAATCATGGAATTTCATACCTTCATTTAGCATCAATTAACAAAGACTAAACTTCTAAAATAAAAAGATTACTGGAGCAGAAATCAGCATGATAATAGCTAACATTAACAAACAATCTATTTGACATGTATTTAGATATTTTAACCTGTAACCAAAGAGGAGGCAGAGTTTATGACCTATACTGCAGCCAGTCAGCAGGGGGCGCTCCAAATCTTTTAGCTTCCCTTGAGGACATTGTCCATTCTTTTTTCAGTCTATGGGTCAAAACAGATTTAAGTCATTTTTTTTCTTGTGTTGGTGTGTTATTTGGGAAGGAGCAATGATGAACCTGACCTTGCTCCAATGACGAACTATCATGTGTTTGATGCTCATAGTGTCATTAATATTACAAAAAGGAGAATGGTTTAAGGAATTGGCTTAACCACATCAAGGTTATAATTTTGGAGGTTTAAGTTCTCATTAAATCCTCATAATGTGCTTTAAGTGTGCAGACTTGACTATGCTGCATAAACTAGGGCAGGCCTAGATCAGCACTCCATGCATCATTCATGATATATTTGCATGTGCAGCCCATACTAAACTGTGCTAAATGAATAATCCAGAAGGGTTATGTCTTAAACATATTTTGGTGTTTTCTAACTGATGGTTTATTTAATTGACCCTGATCCGTTTGACTTATAACCGTCTGTATTTCACATAACAGGTTGAGTAACTGAAGACACATAGATTTTTTATTTGATGTATTTTTTTCAACAGTGTGCAACAAAAAAATGGAATATGAATGCACCCGACCTCACATTTGTTAGATTTTAATAATACATCAGGATGACTCTGCTCCTCTTTTAGGAACTAGAAATTCATCAAATAGGCATTTGAAGTGGGCTAAATATGCTTTTTGAACTCATGGACGTCCTGCAATAGCTATATTTTCTAAAATAACAGACAAAGGTTGTCAAATTGAGGTCCTTATGCCAAGTTTTCAACAGCTCCTGAGCAAAGAATAATAGTTATTCAAATTCTAAGCATTCCCTAATGGAGTGGATAAGCCTTGCATTATTAGATGATGGGGGAGGACGTCTAATAGTTCAACTTATTCTTATCCCAGTACAGTTAGCTTTTATAGCAAAGAAAGTTAAAAACTGACTCAGGGGAATATAGATGTATTCCTATAGCAGCCCACTCAATATTTATTTCATTATATGGGGAACTTTCCTTTCCTGGAATCATACTATTCATTTTCCATGGTGAGAATTGTGTATTAGCAGAAAGCTTATAAACTGTGCTACACTAAGCTGCCTTTCCCAGCACTTGAGTTTCAGCCCATGATGAAAAGTGATGCAATGATAAAAGAGCTGCTAATATTAACCATGTTCTGCTTGAAACAGCTCGGCAGACTGACCCAGCTCTAAAAACAGATTCTCACTGCTGCTGCTATTTTGAGACTTTAAAAAAATGAATCAAATATCATTTAAATGAACAAATACAACCTTATAAGGCGATGCTATCTGCAGATTTATGACTTGATTTTAACATGTTAGGAGTGCTAATTAAATGCTTTTTTTTAATCATTGTGTTGCCTCACCCTTTCCTTCTCCATCAGGATGTGTTAACCTGCATTTGTTCTGTTCCTCAAACTCAGGTGTGTCAGGGTGCAGCAGGAAATTGCAACAGAAAGTGACTCATCAATAACTAGCTCCTCAGGGGCAATTATTTCCCCCCAGATGTTATTGAAATTGGAAAATGTGAGAGATTTATCAGAGAACAACATTAAAGACACACTTCTTCATAAGTAGACGACTTCGATTGTATAATAGGTGTTTGATTTCATTTTCTGGGTGTAAGGGGGTTAACATTTAAACCCAGTTAGAGCTACTTAACCCAAGTGCAATCCTTCTTTTGTGCACCCGTGGTCCCTCTCAAAGTTCTCAGGAGCTAATTGGCTCGACATATAACGAATGCTTTCGCTTTGCCCAGTTTTGGTTTACACACCGGCTAAAGTGCAAACAGTTACGTAATTGTATCCAGAGTCCTCGCAGCAGTCTTCTCCGTTGGGGATCCGTTGAGCAAGTACCTGCCATGGCAATGTGTAGCAGTAGCTTTTGTCCTCTTGTTACCCCCGCGTTTGATGCATTTGGAGTCACCAAGCAACACCTTCGCGCAGGGATGGCGCTCTAACACCGCGGACGCTGCTGCTGCTGCTGCTGCTGCTGTTGTTGCCTTTGCCCGGGTATGACGCGGAGACGCATGCAGTCTGCTGTCTGCTCTCGCATCACGGTCCAGCTTTGCCTCGACAAGCACACGGCGTAACATCCCTCCTCTCAGCCCTCTGGAGATCTGACATCACCCCGCATCCCTAATGCTCACATAAGGGGACGAACTCGTGGCCGGAGCATCTCTCTAAGGGCGTGGCACCTTTTTTGGATATTGACGCACGAAAATGTGTGACCGAAGGGTTGGAAGCTAATAAGGCGTAAACAGGACTGTTATTTTTCTTCCAGCTGACAAGTCTCCATGTATACAGTGGTAAGTCTTATTTCTGACCTGGCGGGGGAGCCAGATGCTATTGGTTTCACATTGCCTTTATTTGCCTCATTTTTTTTTTTATTGTTATGGATCATAAGAGCTTTCTGAGTCGAGTTAAGGAGCGTCCTCGTACCTAACATGCGCCCACATTGCGCACTTTGACCCGCGATGGTGAGAAATTATGGGATTTTTTTGAAGCGTGGGGTTTTTTTTTTTCCGGTGTTGTGATCCTGTATGGAGTCAAGACAAGCATTGTTCTCCTTTTTCCTTATCCCGGCTTTCTTTTGTCTCACAGAGCTCCAGTTCAGGGAACCCTTCCCTGCACGGATCCATGTCTTCCTCGGCGGATTTTTCAGACGAGGATGATTACAGTGTTAAATCAGGCTCGGCATCTCCGGCACCCGGGGACACTTTACCCTGGAACCTGCCCAGACATGAGAGGTCCAAGAGGAAGATCCAGGGAGGATCCGTGCTGGATCCGGCAGAGAGAGCAGTGCTCAGGATCGCAGGTGAGAGGCAGCCTTCCCTGAAATCCACTTATTATTCTGTAACAAGAAAACACAATGAATCCACCTCGCTGCAATACGCTCAGCATATGGAGAGTACATGAGCATGCTCAGGAGTGTGTTTTTCTGGTATTCCCGGTTTTATTTGGGGGCTGTCATGACGGATCACTTGTGGTGCAGGTGTCGGTACCTTGGTCTTCATTTCCTCTGTACATGGCGCCTATAAGAAATCACAAGTTTATTAAATATGTAGGGTCAAAAAATAAACAACAACATTATTTAGTCCCACATAAGCTACAATCTATTTGACTTTTTATCAGTAATATGCACATGTATTAGGATATAAACCATTTAATGAGACAGAATCACACAAGGACGAGTCTTATGTGCTCACAAGTCGATATCAAAAGTCAGGTTTTCAGTCAGAATAACAGAAATCCTTCTATAATGTCTTGTTTGTTTGCTCACTTGGTGACCAACTTGGACGTTTTATAGCTCTAAAGTAGGCCTAATTCATCTTGATACTTTGACACTGCTTGAGGTTATAAAAATCCATCCCAGTCCGGAATAAAAGGAGGGCTTGATTAAAACACAATGTAGCAGATTTCTGTTAAAAAAGGGGTCTATTTTTTTTTTCTTCCTGTAGCTAATCTCGCACCTCACTGCGTTAATGTGTGCCCATTCAAGGCAGCTGACAGGACAGTATAGCTGCAAACATTAAGCTTTGGACATCTGACCAAAGCTATTTGAAGTCTAGCAGGTGGATTACTGTGAAAAAAGAAAGTGGTCCGTGTTACCAGCCGGTACAGAAACGCCTGACAAGGAAATTTCAGTAAAAACACTGTAAAAAATGAGCGACTCATTCAGCCTGATTTTGACGTCGTGTTTTTCCCACTGATGAAAATGAGTGCAAACCTGATCAGACTACGATGAGATTTGAGTGCATGTGTTGAGAAAGAAAAATATTATTTTTATTTTATGCGTATTTTAGCAACAATATCGGTGCAATGGACTTGTCAAGACAGACATTTTTTGCAGCGCGGGCCTTCCTATCAATGTCGTTCACTCCGGAGAGGAAGTGTCGCCCATTGGACAGAGCGCAGACAAGGGAGGGATGTAGGGCGTTTCCTTCTGTGCAACAACAGCGCCGATCACTCCTACAGCACATATACACACATGCACATAAACACACATGCGCGCACACACACACACACACACACACACACACACACACGCTGTGTCCCCGTCCGCCGCTGGTGAATGTCCAGTTTGTGGAGTCCGGGTTATGGCTCAGTACGCAGCGCAGGCTAATACTCTCTCGGACGAACAGGAATACCTTCAAGCCTATGAGGATGTTTTGGAGAAATACAAAGGTAGGATCGATGCTGATTGGACATTGTTTTGGGTTTTGAGGCGATGAAGAAATTGCCCCCGATTGCTTCGCTTGACAGTTCAATAAATGTCAGCATTGCCCCCCCTCCCTCCTCCTCCTCTCTGTGGTGGCTGCCTGGTGTTAGTGTCTTTATCCCTGCAGTGGAAAAGTGGGAATATTTCCTGCATGACATCACATTCAGGCTGAATATTTATATCCAGGACAAAGACTTTATTATGAGGCTTTTTAATGATCTTATTCGATCATTAGATAAGAGGATAATGAATGTTTTTTTTTAGCTGTTTGAATGAATGTATCTACTCACCCTGAAATGTGTCTTGAAATCATTTCAAGCCAGCTGATTGTCAGACTTTATCATCACATTGAAAGGTCAATCAGACAAACCAAGTCGGTATAGTTCAAATAGATGATTCTTCCATGATGCAAATGATCTCTTTATGTGTTATTCAGAGGGGATATTATAGGACAATCATTGACTGATCGTTCCTCATTTAACCTATGTGGTGTCTCAAGGCAGATAGGACAATGACATAGCAGGGTGAGGCGTTAGCTCCTATCAGTAGCTCATGTCACTTTATGTAGCTGCTCCTTTTGAAAACCATGCCATTAATTACAGCAAATCCATCACACAAAGGAGGTCCATGTTCTCCCGTGTCTCTTTGACAGCTCAAAACCACACACGTGCAGTCTGAGTCTGGGCGTGCGCTGGGAGCTGAATTCAAACTGACAGCGGCAGTTTTTAACTCTTTTGCTTCATCACAGGCAAAACAACAGTGAGCGTGGCCCTGTGTGCTGTTGTGTTGAACGCCTGTTGTGATCATGTTGAGTGTTGTTTGTATTCAGCAGAGCAGAGTCATCTGTGTTTTAAGGCTAAAACAGGCCGGAGGCTGATGTGATCATATGATTTAGCATCATTAGGAAGATGTGGCTCTGTTCTTAAGGCAGAGGAGCTGTGACGCAATGAGCTCACTCATCCTTCCTGTGTCCTTCTTCTATCATCAACAGCCGTTCTGGGACATGTTTTCACGTTTAAATTATTGATTTTTTTGGGGGAATATTTGACCAGTTGTTGCATGAATAATGAACCGCACAAAGAAGGGTAAGGCTTTTCTTTTTTGTATTATGATTTAAAACAACACATTTCAAGCTTGATGGACGCATTTAAGCTTCGGAAAGATCTGGATAGTCACAATTTTTGTTAAAAATGTTGTGTCATCTTCATTTCTTGTTTCTTGTTTTCCATTCATAGATGTGTGGCTGTTGAGTAATCCTGGTGGGAACTTGAGATCAGCTGGTGGGCTAATCATTACATCCATGCAAACTCACCTTTAACATGTTTTCCATCAGCGTTTGTACACGTGTTGCCTGTCAGCTTGGACAGCAAGAATCTCTTAACATTTATTTACTCCAGGTCAGTTCAGATTAGAGACAGGATACAGCAATGAATTTAGAAGTTCTTTGTAGAGTCCTTGACTGCTTGTGTCTGACGATAATATAAGATAAGATAAGGTATGATAAGATAAGACCGAGCTATATTAGACGAAAATGAAGATGAACTTTATTGTCCTAGTGGGAAAATTTGCCTTGGACTGAAGGAAATTCTGTTGCCAAAAAGGAAAAGTGTTAAATTGAAAGACACCGTGCCTACGATAAGTAAAATAAAGGAATGGTGAGTTTTGTAACGGTACAAACAATAACCTTTACAATGGCGGGAAAAAAACAATTATTTTACAATATATTGAGATGAAATGTTTTAATTTGAGAGGGAAGCTCTACAAAGATTCTTCGTTGAGGTTCATTTGAAGTAAACTGTGCTTTTGAGTTTAAGGCTGGATGATGAGTCAGAGAAATCTTTATATCAGCGTCTAATACCCTCTTCCTTCTTAACACAATCCTGTCCCTTAATGTCAAGTTGTCTTTCCAGGTACAACGATGGCACAACCAGTTTATTGTTTCCATATAAAAAAAGATTGTTTCCTTGTCCACAGCGAAGACATATCTCTTTGGGGCGCTGGCTAAGTGCTATGAAAAAGCTCCTGTTCTATAATTTGAGTTGTATTTGCAGCAGAGCCCCGAGCTTTTCTCCATGTGATGCATGGAGAATCAAAGAGGGACATTTTTCACCGGAAAAAAAAATCAGCAACAGTAACCAAACAAACACAGCCTAACAGACCAGTAAACAGAACAGCCAATGGGTCAGCTGTAAAGTAGGTTGCATAATTGTCTTTGTCTCATCCAATTTAAGATTTTGGATCCGTTTTTACAGTTTAGGGTTTGGCCTCACAGTCATCCATTACTTCTGAGTGATGCTCGCTGTCGCTTCCAGATAAAAGAGAAAAGCTGGAGGACAAAAAAGTTCAGGCTTCATCGGAGTGAGCCAGTGCGTTGCGGTGTTACCTTTTGTGATCCCAATTTGTTCGAAGCATACTGAAAAGAAATCATTGATAAAGGAAGTGCTGTCTCGACTGAGTTTTAGGAATGAGGGTTAAAGATTTTTAGTGACTAAGCATAACAGTTTCCATTGACTGGAGGCATGTTTAAGGTCTTATACCTCCAGCTGCAAGGCATGCCACACTAATTAGGTGTTAGACTTAATAGCACCCTGAACACAGGAATCGCTTTGGGCTGAAATTCAATGCAGGCTTTTACAAAAGACTGTAAACTTGAGGAGTGAGCTAAAGACATGGTTTCAGCGGTTAATGGGCAGAGTGGCTGCGTGGGATCAAACTGTTCCAGCAGAGCCTGTTCGGTAGGCCTTCAGCGTGCAGAGGGTCATAAAGTTCCCCAACACTTGATCATCCTCTGACATCAGGGGAGATTTAATGGATTAGACATTTGGTGGTTCAGTCAGCTGTTCTTGGAGTTCATTTTGTTTTTGAGACGCCATATTAAAAGAAAACTGACGATAGATTAAAAGTGAAGTTTATTCTGAGAGTTTTCATTCCTGCAAATTATAGCAATAATATTTTAATCCAAGCTTATACTTCTGTCTATACTGGACTTAATACTATTATGATCAAATTTGGCTTAATAGGGTACTAGCTAAAATGATATCTTAAAAAGAACACTACAGCCAGTGAGCTAAAAATCTGTTCTGCTCACTAACACAATTTCCGAAACCACATACTTACATACTGCATACTAACCCTTCGTTAGCAACACATTAAACCTTGGAAAAGCTAGCTATGCTAAGTCCATTTAACAACAACATTCATCAGTTTATTACAAATACAGCTACTTAGTCATTTTAATATCATTTGGAAATATATAAAATGTATTTCAGTACGGTTACTTTTATTTGAATGCTGCTGGCGAGCTCTGTGATTGGATAGTCTGAGAGCTGCAATGCATTATAGGGAGGTGTAGTATGACAAGTGTGCTCCCGTCTCTTACTCTTTTATTTCTCGAATAAACAAAATTACATGATTTCGAATCATACTCAATGTGACGCCATATTTAGTGTGAATAGTATAAAAGTATGCGGCTTCAGACACAGCCTAAGATCCGAACATTCAAATGCTCACAGCCTGAGAGCTTTATGAAAAAAGGAGCGCTGGATACTGATTAGTAGGAATTTTCTATGAAGAAAATATACGTAATCTTTTCCCTG